TATATTTTTTTTTTTAAATTTTTGGTAATGATTTGGGGGATCATTCTTTTAACTCTCTATTCTGTATTGGAAGTCTCTCCAAGATGTCATTCATGGGTTTGATGACATAGTTGGTTTTCTGTTGGCAGTTATCATAGTGAGGTGAATTTTGATTTAGAATTTGGTCTGGGTGAGGTGCACTAGTCTATCCTTAAAGAAATAAAATGCCCCAAAAATAAGAAAACAAACTGAAAATCCCCCAAACAAAATAAAATGGGTCAGAAATAGTATTTGTCCTTCCCTTTCTTATGTAGGGCCTATTTCATGATTTATTGTTTGTATTTTCAAAAAAATATGATCTTACCCTTAGAATTTCACTGCAGTTATCCTTATCCAAAATCCTCTAATGACATAAATTTTCACATTTTGAAAGCTCTGGAGTTTATACAGTTCTACAACATTCACAGATGGGTTCAAAACAATACTACATTGGCACCACCATCAGAAAGCTCATCTAGCTAGCTCAAGCTGTCTAGAGGAACACAAAAGTGATATTTTAAACAATAGATGCATCATAGAGCTTTCCACAAAAGGTGTTGAAGCAAAATTTTAACTCTATGGTCAGTCATTGTTACTTAATTGCTGTACAAACCAGAGAACTATATTCATTTGAGAATTCCTATTTATAGTAACAATGGAGTTCTGTAACATTAATTGTTAAGTAATTTGGCATTAAAGGCAGGCATTATGTATCATCTCTTGCTAAATTTAAGAATTATAATTAAATTAATATTTTAACTATAATTATTAAATGGGCCGATTTTTTTCTTCCAGAACCTTCTAAATTAATTATTAAAATATTAATTATAATTATTAAATTTAGTAAGAGATAGTGCCTAATACCTGCATCTAAGTACCAAATTATCTGTTTATCTATATTCGGTTTATGGCATCTGACATTGCCTTTTGATCTCCAGGAATCCTCTCCATCTCTCTATCCATACACCATTCCTCTTTAATCCCTTTTTCACTACATACTAACTTTATTCCGTTGTACCAAGTTTGTCTGGGTCTTCCTCTCTTTTTCATTTTTTGTGGATTGTATTTCAATGACATTTTTGGGAGTCTTGTCACTCATTATTTTCACATGTCCAAACCAAATAAGTTGTTTCCTCTTTATTTCTTCCAAAACCATCTTCTTCATTCCCATTAGGTCTTTGATTGTCTCATTAGTTATTGTTTCTTTTTTTTGAGATTCTGCATGATTCTCAATGCATCCATTTCAACTGTTGCTACTTTCTCTTCTCTTCCCCAATCATTCTCCATGCCTCTGCCCCATATAACAGAATGATTTTAACAATAGCATTATATATATATATTTTTTTCTTGATCTAGTTATTTTTTCACTCCAGCATATTACATTTAATCTTTTAACTGCTCTCTTACCATGTGCTAATCTTGTATTAATATCTAATGTATCTCTTCCATCTTGATGAATTTTTATTCCAAGATAATTGTAATGTTCACATCCCTCAATCTTTTCTCCTTCTTCCAATTTCATGTCTGTCTTAGCCCCTCCTATGCATAAATATTTTGTTTTACTTATGTTTATATATAAATCTCCTTTAAAATATTCCTCTTTTATTTTTCTTGTCATGTATTCTTGATCATCCTTATCCTCTGCCATTATCACCTGCTCATCTGCAAGTTGCAATGTAAACATTGGTTTACTGTTAATATCTATTCCCATATTATAACATTTTCATATTTTCAATACTCCTTCTATGTAGATTTTAAATAAAGTTGGTGAGATACAACATCCCTGTCTTAGTCCTTTTGATACCAAAAGTCCTTCTGATATTTTTTTTCCAATTTTTATTTTTTTTATGGATTTTCTATATAATTCTTTAACTGCTTTAATAAACATGTTATTAATATTTATCTCTTTTAATCTCTCCATAATTTTGATGTTGGGACATTATCATATGCTTTTGTTAAGTCTATAAACAACAAAAGAGTTTCCTGTCCTGTTGCATAATCTTTCTGTTCTGAATCCACTCTGCTCTTTTTTTTCATAAATATAAGGTTACCAAATTAGTATTAGTAGTAGTATTAGTAGTAGTATTAGTAGTATTAGTAGTAGTAGTAGTAGTATAATCCAATATATTTTGGCAATTGTTTGGCTTTTATATTATTCCTTTCTAAATGTATAGCAATTAGAAAACTTATTTTAATCTAGTGATTATCTATAGTTTTTTGCTTTATATTTTTGCTTTTCTTATATAAATTAGTTGCAAAGGGGAACATTTTTGACATACTGTATATATAATGTAAAATATCATTATATTGCATTTTTAAAATAAAGTAGTAAAACAAATTTTTTATAATGTATCATATTGTAATAAAATAAGTTGTGAATAATTTTAATCATAATTATTTGCAGATAAAGAAATAAATGATTCAGTTTCCAGTTTGGAATTGTTTGATTTTATGGAAAAATCTGGTATTCCTCTATTAATTTTAGATGTTCGTTCTTCAACAGAATATGAAAATTCTCATATCAAATATGATTCCTGTCTTAATATACCAAAAGAAATTCTGAAACCTGGGTATGTTATTTTTAGTTCATAAAAAAAAATTATAACAGAAATTATTTCAATAAGAAAACAAGATTTACACAAAATTTAAACTAAGACTTTTGTTACATTTTTTAATCTAATGTATTATATTTATAAAGTAATAAAATCAACTTCTTTAGAATAACTGCAAAAGCAATTGAAAAAGAAATACCAGAAAATTCCATTCCTTTGTGGAATAAGCGTGGTGTTGTCGATTTTGTTATAATATTAGATATAAATAGTAGTACCAGAAATATTGATATTCAACATCCTCTGTATACATTACGTGAAGCAATTTACAAGGTAAGCTTAAAAGTTTTTTATGTTTTATAGTATTATATCCAAACAACAAAATATTTATAAATAACCATCAAAACCATTAAAACTATAACAGTCCTAATTGTTTTTTATAAAGACTTACATTCGTAAGATTTATTTGTTACAATTTGATCAATAAAAATAAGGTTTATCCATAACTTGAGAAATAAGAAGTCAGATAATTTTTAATTTAACATTTTCAGAATTATCTGAAACATTTTTTCCAAAAGATATACTTATCAGAAGCTTTGAGCATTTGAACTTTTATACAGCTGCCACACTGTGCAGGTGCATATCTGTGAATATCTGTGATGTTCATTGGAAAAAAAGGAAGAAAAATGATGTACGCCAGCACATCATAGCTTTTGCAATTATTGAACTTGAGTTTATCTGACTATTATTTGTGAGGATATTTAAAGAATGCTGTCTACGAACAGGAACCAACAACTTGAGATGTCATCCGGAAACTTAACATACATGGTGGAACCTGAGTTGGAGTTGCAGAATCAGAGATAGAATCAAACTTGTTGCTAGAGGAGTTGGACTAAATAAAAATGAACTGACTCTGATTCTTGTTTTTTATTGTGTACTTTATATTAACCTCCTAATAGGAGCATTAACCTCCTATCTTGCATTATAGGAATCTCCTATATTTAAAGATCTTATTTTATGATGATTCTCTTACTTCAAGATTTTACTTTACATGTCGCTAATTACTGTTGATTTTCTTTTCAGAAATGTATATTTGAATACATTTTGTGTTAGCTAATTATAAATTTTTATTATTAAAAGACCAATACAAAATGTTTAAGAACAATGAAGTTAGATCTAAGGTTATTGAATACTATAACCACAGATGGAAAACATTGCTTGTGCTAATGTATGGCTGAAGATGATGATATTGATGATAATGAAAAACTGTGAAAGAAGGTAAGCATTTGCAGTTTCAATAGCAATGCTAATGATTCACTTGGTAGTGATGAATGCCATTCTGGATTAATATAATCAAAGTTTACAGTGCATTAAATTATTTAGGCAAGAATCAGAGTTAGACTTTCAAAAATTCTTTGAGGAACTTGGTCTACCAACTCCACAGCCCTGAATTTCAAACAGCTTGTACAAACATCTTATGGAATGTGATACTAAAAATTGTGAGACATTTCAAAAGAGAATTGACTTAAGCATTCAGGAAAATGGAGATTTCTTTGCATATCATTTGCAATATGGAAAAATGTGAGGCAAGGAGACTCATGTTGATGAAGCACTCTGTTAAAGTTTAATTAACATGAAAAACGTATTGAGAAAATTAAAGATGACCTCAGACTGAGTTTGAGGACAGATTTTAAAAATCACCCAAGATCAATGTCTCCTCTTCATCATAAGCTTGATGGCTTTAACACACTGTGGCACAAGCATTGCATTAGTTCATTATTTGAGGCGAAAGAATGATTCCTCAAATAATAATAGTTTTTTAATGATTTTTGTTTTTTACTTATAAGTCACATTACAGTATTAGGAATAATAATTTCCTAAAAGCTATCGTCAAAGGTAAAATTCTCAGTAAGAAAGGAAGAGAAAGGCCAAGGAAAAAGTATCTGAAATAGGTCGTTATTCTATGGGGTTCTAAGATTATCATGAATAAAAAAGGATTGCAGTGATCAGAGTGCATTGGTTTCAGTGACAAAGCAAAGCCTTTAGTAATAGATAGATAGAATGATTTTTATTTAGCATTTTTTTTCCATTTTTCAATGAATTTTACAGAGATCTGCAGATATGTGTGCACAGAGTGTTGGCCATGTAAAACTTTAAATGCTCATTAACTTCTGATGAGTTTATTTTTCAGGAAAAAAATGTTGGAAAATAGTATGGAATGAAAATGGGGTTCTCATTTTAACAAAATAAAGTTGACCTGATTTTCATAGTTTGTAGTGATATCTATGATGAAAGTGATAGTGTCATCTTGTGGCCTTCTTGAAGTTTAACCTGTTTAGTTTAATGAATTTTTTTACAGGATGTGTATTTTTCAAATTATTCCAGTGAATTGATAAAAATGAACCAACCTGTAGGATGATACAACTGTTGAGAATGTTGAAGAAGAACTGAAGTTGGCAATAATACTTCAATGTTTATGGAAGAGGTTGAAAGGAGGATTGACATGATATATGACTGTAATAGGATTTAGATTAAAATAGAATATGGGATATATAAGAAAACAAAAATTGGCTATTAAAGAAGCAGTTACTTTATCTGAATAGAGATTATAGAGTAGATAAGTAAGAGAATAGAGAATGAGTTATACAGATGTTGGTGGTGTTAGTGAATTGAAGAGCATTATGCTATATCGAAGTAAGACTTTATCAAGGAAGCACATCTGATATGAACATAGAAAAGGATATTAAGAATGTGAAGGAGAGGATGGAGTTTGGAGTGGACAGACAAAAATTGTAGATGCAGAAGTGATATTATGAGGAATGATCTAGTAGTGTGACTAAGAATGATGATACTGGTGGTGTTAAAAAGGAACCATTATGGGAAAGAATTGGAGGAACATGTGAGTTGTTAGAACAAGATCCTACAAAGAGTGTTAAGGAAAAACTAGAGTTTCAAGTACTAAAAAGGTTATCCAAGTTGCAATGTAATAAGTTGTATGTTCTGAGGAAGATCTATTAATTGAGGTCAAAAACATTTTTACTCTATTAAAACATATTGCTGGAGAGTTACAAGATGTGTTTTTCTTTTATTTTACCCATGTTGGTTGAAAGTTAAGTTTTGCATAAGGTTATGACTTTATGCAACTTGGATAAACTTTTTAATACTTGAAACTCTTAGTTTTTCTTTAATTAACACTTTGTAGGATCTTGTTCTATTTGGCACTGAGGCTATTTGGGTTGGGTAAAACATGTAAGATGAGATGGTCAATTAGGCTTATGTCTGAAAGAAGATGGATGTCTACTGTCCTAGTGGAAAAATTTTTACAAAAATTAATACAAAAAAGTTATAAAGTATAAAATTTCAGAATGCTGTTAATAAATAGTGAAGAATTGATTAAAAGATTGAACAAATAGTGAGCTTTAGGAGTTTAAAAATGGAAGAAGTGATGATGATATACTATAGGAGCTTATATCCTTCTGTGACAGGATAAAGAAAAATTAGTTTGCATTAATAAGATATAGAAGATTTTTCATTGAAAATAATTGAAAAGTAAAAGGCTATGGAAGCAACAATGAAGGTGCATAAGGGTGCTCCCTAATTACTCCTTGATCTTCTTCTCATATTCACTCTGTTCTTTTATGTTCATCTATATTCTGAAATTTTTGAACTATAATTGGTTATTTATAATTGATACTCTGATTCTGTGGTTTCATAGAAAACACATTGAGCGTTCTCCTGAAAAGATACCATTTTGATACTGTGAATGTTGTGCCACTTGACAGTTTACTGTGTTCTTCATTATAATAAATAAAAAATTTAAGAATCAATTTAAATTTTGCCACAAACCAAATGTTTTTACCTTGTGTAGTTTTTAACAAAGAATGTTTGTAATAGGAGAAAGATTTTATGACCTCATTTTATATTTGGTGATAAAGAAAAATTAGTTTGCATTAATAAGACATAGAAGATTTTTCATTGAAAATAATTGAAAAGTATTTTGCAAAAAAAAATATAATGCAGAGTTTATTAGTTCTAAACTGAAAAATTTGAATTTAGTTCCATAATTACAGATTCTTATGAAAATAATTGATAGGAAAAAATATCTTTAAATTATTCAAATTTTATAATACATTCATATTAGTATTATTACTCATATGTTAATTTTTTATTTTGTATTATTTAAAAGAATTATTTAAATTGAGTCTGAAATGTATATTATTTGTAACAACTGAACTTCCTATCAAGTACTGGAGGTAATATACTTCCTTCTACCTGTATAAAAACCTTCCAAATCTCCAGTGATACTCGTTTAAGCAAACGTTTTCGACCCTACCAGGGTCTTCATCAGGCCACCGTTATGAAAATTCAAACAGTGTGAAATCGAACAGGAACCAAATAAATGCGATTCAAATCTTTGAACGTCAATGTTAATATCAAAAATAGAACACCACGCTCTTGTAGCGATGTCGTCAAAACACGCGCAACTTGCGCTTGCAATAAAACCACATTACGCCTAATTATGTGTGGGGTGTTCCTTCATAGCAAAACTTCCATGCACTAGAGATGTTGACTGCGTCTCTGGAGTTAATACATGTATTGTTTAATCCCGCTTTATAAATTTCTAAGGTCTCCATAATTCTTAGTTGGTCAGTACGGGTGTGATAGCCTAACTAGACTGGCATTCTGCAGATCCACCGTAATTCCAGGTTCCGTGGCTACTGTTGAAAGGGTGGTGGAGTGTTTATTGTTATTAATATCATACTTATGCTCCTTAAGACGTTTGCGAAGGGAGCGTTTGGTTGAGCCCACATATACTAACTTATTATTAAATCTGTCATCCCAAAGGGGTATAGAATACACCCCCGGTGCGTCTTTCAAGTCAATCCCATCTTTCCTGTTTTGGAGTAAGCTGTAAATGGATCTTGGCCTACTGTGACCTACTAAACTTGACCAAAAAAGCAATAGGGCCGCACACTTTCTTGACGTGGATATTCAATTAATAAGTAATGGGATTTCGTTCAAAGTTTTTTACAAAAAGTGCTATGTACCAATGTTCATCCCAGCTAACTCGGAGGATCCTTACTCCTATAAGATAGCGGCATTTCAGGCATTGACTAAGAGAGCCTTCACCCACCATTCTGAATGGGAAGATACCATAGCTGAGCTGGAGCATATCCAGGAAATAGCCACATGGCATGGATACAGTAAGAACTTGGTATATAATATTGCACGGGCATATATACGGAAGAACACGCACATCACTCCTGATATCCCAGAACTTCCGCTTGACGGCAACCGTAAAAGAAAAATAGTAGAGTACAACCGCCAGCTTG